TATAGAGAATGAGACTAAAGAAACTACCCTTAAACTGGAATATCGAGGTGCCTGTTATTGCAAGATTTAATTTGGTTACAAATACTAGAAAAAAGAAAGAGAATGAAGCGTTTTTCTTTGTATTTTGACCGATGTTTTGATTTATGCAAATATTTTAATTTTTCTGCATTGTGTTTTGTCATTATGTATTTTATACATTGTTCATTAAAGGGTTATATTTTTTGTTTTAAGTGTAATTTGCTTGACTAACCCCTTCTAAAGCAGGTAGGTAATCTTTGTTAAAAATCCTTTTTTTGTTACTATGTTATAATCTTTGTTAAAGGATACTTTTGTCTTTGTGTACCTCTGCAAATTGTTTGTTCTGTGTTAATGGGTTTGTAAAGTTACCATGCTCTTGGATCATGCCTTGAGTTTAAGAGCAATTGATTTAAAATCCAATTATATTTGTCTGCCTGAGAGAGAAGGGAAGAATATGATATATGGGCACATCAAAGGTTTTCTACCTTCTACAGCGATATGTTAACATTTTCCTTAACTGAAAATGTATTCATATAGATAACTTTCTATATCACTATGAGATATTACCTTACATGCAACTGCTATAACATTTCCTGCACATACCAAAAGCCTGGAATAAATTTCTACATCTACATGTATTACATCAACCTATGATGTAATCATCACAGCATTGTAGCTGTCCATACTCTCCTGCTCAATGAGGTTTTTTTTGTGTAAGTATTTCCTGTGAGACAATGCCGGCCATTTGGCAGGATCTGATAACACTAAACATAATGAATGTAGTGTTTAGTTGCACATAAGTTTATTTTTCTTAAGTTGAATGTGTAAAGAAGAAAGTGGTGTCAATGAATTTATGAGAGTTGGTTTGTTTTAGAGCAAAGCCACAATGGGCTATCTTCTGTGTCCACTGTGAGAAACTGAACCCCAGATTTTAGTGTTGTATGTCTGTAAACTCACCACTCTCCCACTGGGGGACATGTGTGAGGGTCAAGAAGATCAAACTACATCATCAAAGCAGTTGGAAAAAGAAAATCAATAGGTAAGACTCACCACATAAGATCTTCCAGCGACATGAAGAAGGTAAAACTAGAGGCACACAAAGCCACCCAGTGATGTAAGTAATGGGAAGGGAATGTGGTAGAATTCCACATGCCAGTCTGCAAGATCTCCAATGTTTGGTATCGAATTTAGGAAAGAAAGATTGTGATATTCCTAATCTTACAAAAGGTGACATTAAAAACCAGTCGTTCTGACTCACCCAAAAAGCAATATACCTGATGGCTAAACTGATGAACCCAACCAGTTAAAGTGGAGGGAGATAACTTCCTAGAGGAGGAGGTTATCTAGGGGAAAAACAAGCATTGACAATGGTCCACAAAGGTGGTTGGTCAGTGTGGGATAGCAACAGATAGCCATAAAAGACAATTGGGAATGGAATTATTGCATAATGAGGACTAGAAGGGAGTGAGGTGGGAGAAAAACAAATGATCACCATTCCTGGTCTTTGGAAGATAGTAGTCAAGGGACAAAACAACCAGTCCTTATGATGAATAGGACAGGAAGAGGCAAGGCATGAACGAAAACAGCCAAAAGAATAGGAATAGTACAAGGAAAGAGACAAAAGGTGTAGATAACACCACTTAGTAACTGGAAATTAAAACAGATAGAACTACAGGGAAAGCCTAGGTCCTGAAAGTAGGTGCTTCCATGTGACAAACCCTAAAAGCTACATATATCTTCAGAATGTTGATAAGCAGAGATTGGTCCACCAGAAACTGACCCCAGAGAGAGTGAAGATGTAAAAAATTGCCCCTCCCTCAATCAGAAAGGAAAGCAATGGTTTAAAGATACAAATTGGGTAGAATACCCTTGGTCATGTTAGAGCAATTGAGCCACCATGACAGATGGGGAGGGAAATATGATTGGAAAGAGAGAAAAGTAGAAAAGAGATCACAGGACATGTGCTACAGATCTTCCAGAGAGCAATGATGGGGGGGGGATGCATGTGTAGAGAAAAATCAGAGACCCCAAAAGTGAGAGAAATGAGAGAACCTCACATGCTGGAAGAGGAGAGTGAAGAGCCTACAATACCAATATCTCCGTGGCAGGAAGACTCAAGGGAGATGTTTGACCTTGTAGAGGATCAGTGGGAATAAGACAGGTGAGAGAATAATGAGAAAGTGGAGTATGAAAAGCAGAGACAGATCTGCAGAGAGAACTTGCAAAACCCAAGGGTCACTAGTAGACTATAGGTGTGAAAAGGGGAGAGAAGCAGACTCCAAAGGTTTCAAACCCAAGAACTGGCTCCAAGGAAGAGTTACCACTGGGTGTCTTGATGGTCCACCCAGTGAGAAGGAGGAACATGGAGTAGAAGTGATAAGACAAGGAACAGGAGAGTGGGTAGCTCCATGGGATTCTTGAGGTTGGGTAGCCAACATATGCATTTCTTGTCTAATAAATCAAAAAACTACAAACTCAAAAAGCACATGAAGTGCCCAGGAAAGAATGAGTTTTTTTCATGTGCTAGTGCTCAATGGGATTTCTGAGAAAGGAGGTTGTGTCATCTCTTATTGGTAGAGAGCTTCAGCATTATGATAATTATGTCATAGGTTGATGCAATACACATGTGGTAGTTTATTCAAGGCTTGTGCCATGTGCAGGAAATTCCACAGCAGATGCATGCAAGTCAATTGCTCTTAGTGGTGCAAAGAGGTAAATAATATTTTTGAATCCTTTTAAAGCAGCTACACATGGTTAGAAAATTGTTAACTTTGCTTTGTTTCTTTGTTCTGTAGTAGGTGATGTCTCCTCTGCCTGCAGAGATATTTGAGTATTACATGTAGAATCCGGGTTGAACAGGTTAGCAATAAGCTGATTTAATAAATGCACAGTAACCAATGCTGTCAAGATGTCACACAAAGACTCTAAATTCGAGCACAATTTGTTCAACTGTACTTCATTTTCATTTTGACTAGTAGAGATTCATCTTGATGGACAGAAAACTGACAAGCTGTTCACTGATCCAGTAGAGGCAGTCATCCATTTGTCTACACAAGCATGCACCAATTTCTTCTATGTTTAAAGGATTATTTTCACTGTCCTTTAATATGTCCATTCTCTTTATTTATCATGCAACTTAAAATTCAGTCAAGTTATCAACCACAGAACACTCCCCTTACTTCTTGATTGAATCTATTGTTATTGCAGGTTGTATGGAAATCAATTTCACCCAAAAATATCATACTAGAGTTTTTGGATAATTTTAAATAGCCTCAATTTAAAGTCAAACATGAAAAGAATTAGAATAGCATCAATTTATCTTGTAAAATAAAATTTTTGTTAGTTATGGCTTTATCTTATAAAATTTAAAACTCATTACCAAATGAATAAAGTAGAAAGTCTATGCAGATAAATTATTGTGTTAACAAGTAATAACATTTAACTTCTCTACACTAGCGGCAGTTATATTTCATTTTTACAATCATGGTATGATACCAGTTAACTTTTTAAGTTATCTATGCAACACTGTAACCAGATTTTATAGTACTTTTTACATGAATTAAGAGCCTTCTACTATAATAATGTAGCATATTGGATTAATCAATGGTGACCAAATAGTGTTAAAGTAGCCTAAATATGTCAAACAAATTTAAAATAATGTTAATATATGCTGTACATGGTTAGTCCAGTCAGGTTAAAATTCTACAGTTTCAAAGCTTATATCTTTATTTCTAGTAACGTGACTGGCATGAAAATAAAACCAAGTGAAAACATTTCATATTTTTTTACTAAAATTAAATGGTTACAATTATTTCTAATTATATATATAGAAAAATTATAATTATAATGAGACCTTAACTAGCTTGCTGTAGACTCTAGATGTATTGATTTCAGGAAAACAACAATTTTTTTATTGTAATTAATAACCCAATCTAACTTTTCTTTCTAATACTGTATGGTAAGTGTAAACATATGGCTGCTTATTTTTTATTAATTTCTGAAAAACAACAGAGGGGGGTTTGACCTTCCTAGATCTACACTTCCTTATACAACATGTTATTAATTTCTGTAAAAATGGATGGGGCTCAACCGCTCAGGATCACTTCCTCCTATATTCGTGCCTGCTTATACAAAATGATATATATAGCAGTTCAAAATTAGTGACATCAGGAGCTAGCTCTTATAGATTTTCAGTGAGAAGTGGGGAGGAGATTAAGTTGGTTTGATTATTTACAACATTTTCTGGATTTGTTTTTAGATGTGTTAAGAATGCAACTGTGTATAAATACATCAAATGATATGTCCCATAGATACAAAAATTAAAGAACATTCTAGAAGGTGGAAATTAAGGCAAGTGGATTCAACCTTAGCATCCCACCTTACTGAAACTACTCACCAATTTGATCTGGATAAAACTACAAAATTTTACATAGCTCTGAAAAAGGGAAGAAACTAAATAGCCTGGAGATTTTCTAAATATATAAAGTCTAAAAACAAATCCAGGAAAAGTTCTAAACAACCAAACCAACACAAGTTCCTCCCCCTCTTGTCTCAAGGCAAATGTCAAGGTCACTTCTAGTTCTTTGGTTAAACATATATAAACCTATTAACAAACCATTTCAGTCTGTACCTGACGATGTCTTTACTGGCAAAACCATAGTCATTAATGAATGAAGTATTTGTGAAACATACAATTGTTTTTGTTTTTTCCTCAATTCTGTAATTTTAATTTGTGTCAAAACACATTTTTTCTCACATAGTGAGTGATATACCAAATGTTTTCCTAGCACTGACAAATTGGAAACAATACATCTTTACTTTTAAATTGAATACTGTGGTTTTTACCTTTAATAATGTTATTAAATAATCATATTTTGCAGCCTATTGATAGCCTTTGAGTATAAGGTGTGAAACTTTATTAAGTTTTAATTTACCTCTTTAATTAAAATTGTCAATGTTCTAATGAAAAATTCAATCCTTACCTCACAATGAGATTTTGTTTCCTACATTAAGTAAGATGTTGGCACTATTCTTTTTTTGCTATGCTTTCGTTAAAACTTTAAAGTTAAACTCAATTAGGTATTTATCATTTTATGATAACCGATATATTTTTAATTTTATTTTTAGTTAAGTTTTATGTCACAACTGACCTGTTTGAATTAACTTTAAAAACGACCACTTCTTTTAATTTAATCTAACTTGTCCTTTGTTACAACTTACATTTAAGATACTGGAACTTCTACGCTTATATTTTACTCTGATAACGCTAATTTGTGAAGTACAAGTTCAACCATTTGAATTTAATTTTTAAAAATTGTCTCGGGTCACTTTATTTAATTTTAAAATTTAAGCCTAATCTCACTTTTAAAAATTAATTTTGTTTGATTAATTAATACATTAATTCGTTATATTTATAGGTGATTGTGATTTCGTTATTTTATATTTGAATCTAAAAATAAAGTCCGAACAGAACGCCACTAGCAACAAAATTTAGCTGCAACTACTTTTTACACAAAAGTGTAATAAACTATCTGTATTGTTTTCACTGGTTTCACATTATTACATACAATATTGTGTATAAACATCCTATAATTTATATCTTTTTTTTAGATCACGTTGAAAACGAGAAAATATAAGTGAACACTAGATGGAGCATACATATTCATGATGAGATGACGCAAATAAATATTTTAAACGTGATATGAATCACATTATGATGAATTATCTAAACTGATTTAAAACTCTGCTAGTTTTCTCAATATAAATAATGATCTTTATCACAGCACTCTTGCAGTTTCATCAATGGCGTACTCAGCAGGTTTGATATATATTAAAAAGTATTTAATATTGTTACGTCTCCGTTTGTTAATTAACTTTCCGTAACTTCGTTCCGACGAAACTTTAGCGACACAAG